GTCTAATATTGTGTTTGACATTATCACAGAAAGAACCCTACAGAGAAATAATCACATTTCTTTATCATCCGCTGGTCTGTTTGTTATTGTGACCAAGTGTTGCACAAGGAGAAGTCTCAATCTCATGAGAAGTGACTTGTTGCAGAAAAAACAATGGTGGAAACATTAGTGAGTCGGAGAGAAGACTGTTGGAGTACAGAGAGTGTATCTCAGTTCAATCTAAAAAAGTTTCAATGTCATGGTTGAAAATATTTAGCTGATTTCGACAATGTGTAAAGGTCTGTAGGCTTTCAGAGTGAGACTCGGTTACACACGCTGACAAACAGACCAGATCAAACGAAAGATACAGAAGCAGGGGTCCTGTGGGGATCCTGTCCATAATGTTGTTAGACACTGGTGATAACAATCTGAGTCTGTCAGTGGCATAAACAAACACTTTTAGTGGTGGTAAATTCACAGTGCATGGATAACTGTGGGGATTACGTTTTGCCACTGTGGCTGCACACTTAATCAAATAATAACCACAGTCACAATTAAATGACCATGATTGACTGCGATACCAAAGTTTAAAATGTGCGCTCCACTTAAAGAAATCTCTGCAGCATTTCAAATCAAGTGCCTTCAACAGTCAGCCTGCACTTTTGTAGATTTGTCATGTTGGTAAGCACACTCTCTGCACTGACAGACTTTCCCGAGTGTTGCGACTGCACACCCACAAAGGGAAAATCATTCTTTCAATAACCGTCATCTATTGTTTGGAAGTATTTCAGATTTAGGAGAGAATACATCATATGCAAAGAGTGATTGAGACTTGTGTCTGCATTGCAAAGCAACACAACTAACGTGTTAAACCACCTGAAATACAGAAATTAGAAACACACAATCTGCAGTACGATGAAGGCCAAGAAGAACATTGCTAACTTTACCGTTAATCCCCATCCTTTTCCAGCATATCCATGGAAGATGCATTGAATTCAGGTAAAGAGGAACCTTATTTGATTTTGATGCAAAGATTTGTTTGGCGAAAGCAGAGCTCTCTTTATTTAAATGTGAAAGTGCAATAAAGAAAAAGTCCCGAAAAATGAATGATCGTGATCTCAATATTAATCAAAGTTAGTCAAAGAAAATTTTATTTCCTTTTGCAGAATTATTACTTGGCAGTATGGCTCTATTCTGGGGCCTCCCTCCCTGGGAGAGCAGCAGCAAAGACCCCCCGGGAAAAGAACAGAGCAGCATCAGTGACAAACAGAAATGACATTGATAAGTCAGACACAACATGAAAAGGAGGAGCTGGGGTGGAGGCAGGTTGCAAAGCAGCTTGCAGAGGAAGCAGCAACAGTAGGCAGGCCAGAGCAGTTTAAATAGGGCGCCCTGAATGAGATTTGCCGATTAGTTACATAGAAAGTAATCATGTGATCCATCAGCCGACTGCCTTCAATCAATCAGCTAATCAATCAGTTAAAAGGGCTGTTTGAGATCAGCTGATGTAGCTGGGATGTGAGCTGAGCTTGACATCGTGTCCTGCCTGAACTAACGCTATGCTCTATTTTTTCCATAATCGTGCAGCCCTACTGCGGCCTCTCTCATTATTGGATCACTTTAAAAAAATGTTGTGTCCCCTTCACCTGTTTCAGTAAATGTAAAAATATTTTAATCTGATGCACATCTTCCTGTAACTACACCTGATGTACAGTATTTGGGATATTTGGGAACGCTGGAATTTAAACAAGTCAGAATAGATTTAACCGGCTTAAACAAGAAAGCAGGTTTCTAAAAAAGGATTTGAAGGATTAAAGACTAAACAGTCTGCGTGTCCAGTTGAACAGGAGGAATGTCTTCCATTGTCAGAGACAAACTGATGTTGTTTCTAAAAGCTACCAACTTGTCTCCTCGCCCACATCTGTCGATAAAATCTCATAAATAAGAACTCTGTCTATTGTTTTTGCATGAGGAGAAAAACTGTTTTCTTTGGGTTGTCTGTGAAAATATGTCACTGTGGTGGAACACAAACATCTACCGACTAAACACTGCGGCTCACACAGGTTCGGGCCTCACGCTGCGTATCAGGCTTCGCCTTTGAGTCTCTTTTGTTTCTCGTCCTCTGTTGGTCTGTAGAGCAGATGTGTTTTTGTCTCTGTCAGAGGCAGAAATAAAGCTGTGGCGTGTAGCTAAGAAGGTAGGACATGGCATTGCCAGATTTTGGGGTTTCAGCTCCCTACGTGTAAGTCACGGTACAGCAGGATTACTCAAACGCACCAGTACCCCTCCCATATGGCTGCCCACTGGAAACAGGCCTGGTCCTCATTCCCGGTTTGAAAAGCACTGCAGTCAACCATCACAAAAGCAGAGCTGCATCAAACATCCCACTGACACACTGACAAACAAACCCGAGTTCAAAACAACCGCTACAAAAGCAGGAGCTGTTGCAGATGGAGACGCCGCCGAGGTCCAACATCTCGCTGAGCGTTTGATGGAACCTGAGAAGAGCGACATGCTCTGGTGACTAATCAGCTGGGAGATGTTGGCGTTTCATGCTACAGTGTGGAAGACTGATGCCTCAGCTGCTGTAATGTACAGTGAAACATACACACAAAGGGTGATTTCAACAATGACTGCTGCTGAAGCTGTTTGACTAACATCCTGTCTGAACGGTAAATACCTCACGACACTGTGAAGAGGAGGATTTCCCCTTCCCTCATCCTCCTCATCCTCTGTGTTTGCCTCTTTATAAGCATTAGTAAGAGAAGAGAATCCCTGCACACTGTCCAATTACTTGCAAAAAACATTGTTAAGCAAATGTTTCGGTTGTCAGACCTTCTTCAAGTTAAATAAAAGAACAAAGAAAATGTCTTCTTTGCAGTTTTTTGTGTGTAATAGGACAGTATGCAGGAAGTTTTTCCTCCTACGCACCTGTTTTTAAAGGTGTGCATGAGCCTACAGATCCAGACTCTGAGCAGCATGAAGTAGAAAGGTGCAGCCATATCTCTTATTTAAAGCCACATATAGAACATATAAAACAGAAATTGTCTAAATCTTGCGCTGCTATTTATAAAACAAGGGAGTTGTGGAACAAGAATGTTTGTTGTACTGTTCACTTGTAACACCATATATGTCCTACTGTGCTGAAATTTGGGGCTGGGTTGTCGTTTGGTAGATATCAGACAGACAAAGATAAGCCTGGGGCTCCAGCCCATTCCTGTTTCGGTTATTAGAAAATTTGTGTGAAATAATCTTTGTTTCTCCAAATGTTTGTCACTGAGAAAAAAAATGATTTATTCATTCAGTGTAAAGAGGCTCAGACAGTTTACAATTCACCTGGTGCCACAGGACTTAATAACAGGTGGATATTTTGTTAAATGATTTTACATGTATCTTTATGCTCAAATAATTGTGACGCTAATATTCTAAAAAATGACAGAAAGATCTTTCAATAAGACAAAAGAAAAACACGTCACTGCAGTTTTCTGGTCAAGAGTGAACATTTTTGCTGAGACTTTCCATCTAAGAATCTTTACGTCAGGTCTGTTTGTGAGTTTAACTTTTGCTGCTTGAAATGTTAATTACCCTCTCTGATAATCAGTTTGTGTTTGAGACATAAGATCATTTATTAGCCAACAAAGAGAGAAAACAGCGCAACCTAAAATAAAAAAGCCAAACTGACAACTGGTTAAAAACTCGCAGTGCTCTGTCGCCACCCTGTGGTTTAAAACACGAACTACAACCTGTGTCATTTCCACTCATGCTGGGTTTTAAACTCAGAATCAAAACTGAAAGTATTAAATTTGAATAACAGCCCCTATGACTGCATTGGAAGCTTTAGATATAAGGTAACTTCTCCCCCTTCTAAAACAATTTTGATAAATTGTAGAGATCAGTGTATGCTTGCATCATTTGAGCAATATTTTTTGTACAATATTTAATTCTTATTTATTCTGTTCTTGCATTTAACATACTTTGCAGTATGATGCAAATATTTGTTGTTTCATTTTTATATTTTGTGTATTCATATTTGTCTATTGTTACATAATGCTATTTTTTGTCTTATTTTCTATTTTCATATAATTTCTCTGTGCTTATATGTGTAAGACCAACTGTGATGTATCAATAAAGTACTTCTCTTCTCTTCTTCTGCAGACACAATACAAAATACAGTACAAAGTCTCCCAAAATACTCAATAAACTACCAGTATATCTCAAACTTTACAGGGATATTTAACCCAAACACCAAGTAGGCAGTAAGGAAAGGAAATATGCATTTTTTTAATGATTTATAGACAACGATTAAATGATTTGCATGTAATGATGCAACACTCACTAGTCACATATCTTTAAAGGCTCTGTACACCTCAACAGGTGTTTCCTACTCTGACTGATTGGACCTCTGCTCTGATGAGCCCTGCAGGAAACACAGGTGCTACTAATAATGATGACGATGGCTCAGAACTGTTCAAAGGCGATTAAATGAAACCCAGCCATCATTTATGTTATTATTTCCTACTTTGACATCTCAGAATATCTGTTTTAAGATGTCTGTTGTAACAGGCCTAACAGGAGAGTGAGGGAGAAGTCGATCAGACACGAGTCCTGAGTTTAATCAGCCTGAGGAATTAAAATCACCTGTGTGGATTCAGGATGCAGCAGAGCCTGAAAATACTCTACAGTGTGTGGACACCCAAACATTACACCGTATGTGATTACATAACCATGAGCATGAATGTGCAGCCATGACAGCCTTCACTTTTCTGTCGCCTCACTTTTAAAACTTTGCAGAGAATCCACACTAAATGTTTGCAAATGTACACATGAGGAAATGAGCGCAGCCTGCCAGCGCGCTATTTTCGTTCAACAATCCCAAATCACCTTGGAGTTCTCCGCACGTGGACGAGCCTCATATCCCGCCCTCTGTACACCCACATGTAACCATAAATGGCCAATGCAAAGCACCTCAGTCTGTGAGCACCTCATTAATGCTGATGCATAGACGCAGGCACGTGCACAGGTAGACCACAGGTGGTGCTCGAACATCTGTCCTTTGGCCCTCTGTGACTATAGGGACCCTTTTTGCAAGACATGTCTTTTTCTATTTCTTCTAATAATTTTATATAAGTTTTTAAATGTGGCCCATGGAATCACTTCTGAGTTAAAAATGATGATGTTTGCGCAGCTGCACCTGAGTGGAGGCCCTGCCCTGCGCCCTGCAGAGCAGCATCACATTATCTATCATCATGGACAGACAGGTAAGGATAGTGTTTGCCCTCAGCCTCAGCATCGTGTGTCTGTTGTGAAATTAAACCAATATTAAAACATTTCAGTACAGAATTCTGAATTAGGCAATAACCATTAACAAAGCGAGTCTGGCGTCAAACTGCACAATCTCCCCTCAACGCTGGCACCAGCTGACATGTGTGAGTGAAGACACACACCGAATTGCCTTCCCACTTCCACGTATCTTGTTAAACCAAAACTCAATTTGAAATAATGTTGCATCTCTGATAATTAAATTAAAGAAAAATGACATGCAGTTTGAAAGTAAGAAGAGGAGGAGAGGAGGAGCTACACGTGTCTCTTTTGTGGGATTGTTTAGGAATATTTAAAGATTTTTTAGAAGATAATTATGAGGAAGAGGAGAAGAGAATGCACTAGCTCTGACTGATGCAGCTGAACACAGGCCTGCTTTGTAGTTTTGAGGGTAGATTTAATTTCTTCAGAGCAGGATATGTTGATTGTGATGGTTATTTACAAAAATGTGCATAATGTAGCATCGTTTTCTTTGTTGTTGTCTGTTATAAACAGTGTGTCAATAACGTGTAGCAGCTGATGGGTGTATATAGTAAAGACAGACAGGCTAAAGCCTCAAGAAACCCTCTGGTCCTGGCAGATAGATGCCTTCAGGAGGGGTGCACCCAGCAAAATGTCTGTGCACAGCACTGCAAAGACATGAGCTGGCTCATCAATGGTTCTTTACAGTAAATTATGATAGAGACCGAGAGGAAAACCAAGACACCAAGATATTCCTGATGCAGAAATTGAGGTGCTTGTGGGTGAGCTGGAGGTCAGAGAGCACATAGCCTATTGTTTGGTGGGCAGTGGGGGCAGCTGGTGGGAACATGCTGCTGCTTTTAATGCAGCCAGTTCATTAAACAGGATTCGACCTGATTTTTTAAAATAAAATTTAAGTGGATACCAAGAAAAGAAAGAATTGCACCCTGACGGCTTTGCTGATACACAACCCGTATGTGCAGGTGATGAAGATGTGCCAGGTAAGAAGCAGAGTACTGCAATATCTCCAGTGCACACTGTGCACCTGACAACACATTCATGTTCCCCGCAGCCATTTTACACACAAAAACTATCTGAAAACTGAAATGGTGCTTAGTGATATGTGCACTGTATTTCAAGACATTATTGAAAACTACTGACACAGTGTACTGAACTTATGTAATGCTATTTGATGTTATCTTGGATTTCTAAAACTGATGCTGTTCATTCACCAGCTGATTCTTCTCTAGTTTGGTCTTCTGCTAGTGTCCTTGTCACTACTGGTAGCATGAGGCTGTACCTGCAGCCCAGTCAGGCTGCACAGGTAGTCCATCTCCTCCAGGATTGCACATCCATGCTGTGTCTCCCAGCACATTCTCAAGAGCATGGAGGAGACACCAGGAGACCGGCCGTTACACGAGGAGAGCTGGACAGGGCCGTAGAAGGGCATCAACCCAGCAGCAGGACCGCTATCTGCTCCTTTGTGTGAGGAGGAACAGGAGGAGCACTGCCAGAGCCATACAACATGACCTCCAGCAGGCTACTGGTGTGCATGTTTCTGACCACACTGTCAGAAACAGACTCCATGAGGGTGGAGAGGGCCCCACATCCTCTAGTGGGACCTGTGCTCACAGCCCAGCACCGTGCAGCTCCATCATTCACCAGAGAACACCAGAACTGGCAGGTCCACCACTGGGGCCCCGTTCTCCTCACAGAAGAGAGCAGGTTCACACTGAGCACATGTGACAGGTCTGAAAGAGTCTGGGGAAGCCATGGCGAATGTTATGCTGCCTGTGACATCATCCAGCATGCCTAGTTTGGCGGTGGGTCAGTGATGATCTAGGGAGGCAGATCCTTGGACAGATCTCCATGTCATAGCCATAGGTACCCTGTGTGCTGGTGGTACCGGGATGAATTTCTCAGAGTGACTGTCAGACCTTATGCTGGTGCAGTTTTTCCTGGGTTCCTCCTGGTGCAGGACAATGCTTACCTCATGTGGCCAGAGTGTGTGTAGATAGTTTACCACAATATTAACTGTAATCCATCAGAACCATTGTGAAATACATAAACATTAATCACTGCGTAATGGGTAACGTTAGTGATTTAGAACACATTTAAACACAGTTTTCATCAGCCTATGGCCTTAAACACATGTCTCACGGCATGCTGGGAAACGCCACCCCATTTAGCCCCCAACATGCCACAATATGTTAAGTGAGCCTGGTCTCACTCCGAAGTCACAGATATCCGGCGCATGGGCAGTGACTTGCAGCCTTTAACATCGGCATGATACACGGCTGGTTGCCATTATAGTTTAACGGTGCCCGGGGATGGGACAAGGACAAAAGTTAAGGTGGCGAAAGTCCAAGTCGGTTTTGCTTTTATTTTGAAAGCGACTGTGTGTAAACATTAAATTCCCTGTGAAAACAGAAGTGTATTTTGAAAACAGACAATGCATGTAACAGGCTGAAGTTGACACGGCGTCCCAGAACATCAACAACCAACACACCCAGGGTACCTTGGATGTTGTATGTGGACATGGAAAGTCCATGACCAAACGTTAATATGTGACGAGGTCGGAGTGAGAATGTGTTGGTTACGTGCATAATGTTTATTGGCCTTAAATTAATCAGGCAAAATCTACTTCATAAACTTTAGTCAAATTAACTCAAAATTAAAAAGTTGTGGACTTTTTGTGTCAAGTGAAACATAAAGTTTTGATGCCATTTTGACAATCCGGGGCATTTGTGTGTGTCTTTACATTAAATTCTGTGTCATGGATGGATTGGGGTTAACAGTGTGTGTGCATGTAATAGCATCTTTGTTTATTTCTGTCTATTCCTATCTTACTGTAAATGATTTGTGTACATATGTGGCGTCACTATACAATCATTAAAACTTTCCTGCACATATCTGTGTTTTGGAAGCTAAACTGTATCTGAACTGAATATACTGAAGATTTCTTTATGGTTATGTTTTGATTTTAAGAGTTAAAGGTGTAGATTGAATCGTCACAGCTCAGTAACAGTCTGACTTGTAGCGCCGGGGTGATTCCTGCACTTTAAATCGTTGCACTCAAAGCATCATCTCTCTTTTTTTCAGCGAGGCATTTCCTGGCTGGCTGTCTCTCCATCGGCATATGCCTGCTCTGGATGATGCGCCTCTCTTCCCGAGCATGACACACTTACTGGGCTGCAGAGCCGAGCCACGGGACGAGCCACGGGACAGAGACACGGAGAGGAAGCCGCGAGGACACACGAAGACGACGACGACGATGATGATGATGAGGAGGAGGATGCGGGAGAGGAAAGCGGATGAGAGCTAATGATGATGCTATCGACAGAGCAATGCTCGAGAGAGAGAGGAGAACAATAAATAAAGCTCTGCGGGTTGGTGGATGGTGACAGTGATGATGATGATGATGAGGATGGGGATGCTGTGAGGACGGGACCGCTCGGAGGGAGGATGCGTCTCTGCCCAGTGTGTTGATCGTCGTGTGGGTAAATCTCGGGTATCACCGAGAGTTTAACGAAGCGCTATTCTGAGGAGGTGGGCCAAGTCCCGGGAGAGAGACAGAGAGAGGAGGAGACAGAGACACACACACACACACACACACACACACACACACACACACACACACACACACACACAGAGGACCTCCAGACTGACTCAGTGATGTTGTTGCTGCTGTTTGTCAGTGATGTGAAGCGACATTAAGGAGCTGATGAAAGGACTCCTGCCCGCGCGTGGACACATATTTCTACATCTTTGCAGGTAAGAAGCTGATCTCTCTTTTCCTGTCTCTCCACATGCCCATCACAACTCTGCCTCTGGTCATAATAATAATCCAAATACATACAGCACACAGCCACACCACTCCAGATATAGGAGTTAGGGGGAGGTATGGCTGCAGTTCATATCTTTTTAAAGTGAGTTTCTACTGACATTATCCTCAGAGTATTTTCACCTCCTACAGTATCACCGTGATATTATGTAATAATCCAGTATGTGCACTGAAACAGGAGATTGATAAAACACTGTTGGTCAAGCTTATCCAGTGGTGGCATGCATTTATACATTCATTTTAAGTACTTAAATTCTGAGGTATTTGCACAATATCTGTATTTACAAATACTTTTCACTCTACTATAATTAATTATTAGATTAAAGAACATGACTGGCTTATAATATAAAATGTACCCCCACAGATTTATTTTTCCAACTACCCACGGGCCAGAATAAATGTTGGCATTATATGTTTCTGGAAACCACAGATATGCTACGTATCTGTTTGGTTTAGGCACAAAAACCACTTGGCTACAGTTAGAAAAAGATCACGTTTTGGGCACAGTCCCAGCTGGAAAAGCAGTGATGTCTCTGTAAAAAAGAGCAGCTTTTTGTGGCACTATTCTCTCTGGAAAAACAGCAACGGGTCGCCAAGAAAACTCCCACATTTGGTGCCTAAAAAGTCTGTGGAAATGCAGTGAGCTGAGGGTGCAGGTTTTGTTCCAACACTGGGGGAGACAAATACGAAACAGGGTGTTTGGGGTGCCGTCCACCAGAACATTTTAAGCATCAAACAGGATTTTATATGCACCAATTTGTGCTTTTCTTCACCAATCTTTGGTGTAAATGTCTTTAAACCCGTCAAATAAAAGTCCTCTCTTATTTTTGTTTTTACTGGGGAAGACACATGCACATTTAAGAAATATTGATGCAGATGTCTCTCCTGTGTTCCCCTTTGAAATCTACGCATCCAAGCGACAGGTTGCTACAAAACACCCACATGTGGCACCTGAAAGGCGGCAAGGCAAGGACATAGGTTTAGTTTTGGGGGCTACACATATGAAACATGATGTTTGGTGGTCCTCCACCAGAACATTTAAAGCATCAAACACCTAATTTCCTGCAGTCTGGTGAATTGTTATGCACCAGTTTTTGTGAGAGGTGCCCAAACTTTTCCCCTTAGAGGGCCAAAACTGAATCTTAATGGTGGGCCACATGCCTAAAGTTAACACCTATTGTATTTTATTATATTGTATTGTAAGGTGTAAAATGGTGCTGGGATCCCATGCCCCTTAATTGGGATGCCTCTTGTTTGTCTCCATTCTTTTCTTACCTCACGTGTGCCAATATGATTTTCTTGGCAAAGTCTCACTCTGCCCACCATGCTCAGATTAGGAAAAATAATTAAGGACACCAGATATTTAAAGAGCTTTATACCTTAAAAATGAAGCAGAATAAACAGTGATTTATATTATAATTATTTTAGTATTTATATTATTATTATATTATTTTATAACATGTACAATTAGGCACAGAATGTTCCCACCCCATCCCGCCAATTTCTACGCCCATGCAGCAATGGGTCACGAGGAAACACCCATGTTTGCTGCCTCACAAGGCAAGAGCACAGGTTTCATTTCAACACTGGGGGAGAAACAAGAATAGGGAACACTCCACCAGAAAATTTTAAGCATCAAACACTTTATTCCACACATTCTGGAGAGGTTTTATGCACCAAATTGTGCATTTTCTGCATCATTTATGGTGTAAATATCTTTAAACCTGTCAATACAAAAGTCCTCAGCCATTTCTCTGTTTGTATCGGAGTGCACAAATGCATTTGCCCTACATATTGAAGGGATGTTTTACCTGTCCCCCCCCTCAAAATCTACACCTATGCACGGTGTCTACAACACACCCATGCTCTGAGCCTTAAAAGCCGCTGGAAACACAGCGGTGACTCGTTAAATCACAACCAGTTTCATTGTTTGTTGGTCGTGAACAGTGGTCTGCAACTTGGCTGGTGTCTTGCCGAGGTGTCACGCCATCCAACCATCCCCTCCACCTCAAGAAGTCAGCTCATAAACTACGTCACTTTAGGAACATTGATATGATACATACATATGTAACATATTCGTGGTTTGCAGAACCATGCTGGGCTTTATTTACGGCAGCTGGGCTGTAAATAATAATAATAACCCTAACCCTAATAAAGTAGTGAGAATGACCTCCACCTCGACCTGCTGCAGTATGAAGAAGCTGATTATGCATGAATGCATCAGTGGTAATAATCCAGTAACTGAAAAGAGAAAATCTGCTGCTTAATGAGGTCTTTTACTGGTTTATTAACCTACATTTTGCTGCAAAACATTTTAAATGCAGCACTCTTACGTGTAAATGTGTAAAAAAAAAAGTACTTTGAGATCTCTGCATTACATCTTTTACAAATGAGTCTAAACTCCTCTTCCATCACTGGAGCAACCTGAACAAATGAGTGCAGAAACATGATGAGTGCAGATGCATGCAGGGTGTGAGGGGTCTTAATGCTCTGATGAGTTTTAAATGTCCTTTGCAGTCATCGGATCTCCATCCAGCTGATCAGCTACGGGCAAGTTTTGATGGACAGTGTGACACAGGAGGGAAACAGAATCACAGAGTCAATATAAATACAAAGAAACACACTCACACACACACTATCCAACAAGAGCCCCCTAAACTTATGTTACTAAATGATTTTACATCTTTTTCTTCATCTAAGGGATTCGCAGCAGCGCAGTTTGAGGCAATTAAAAGTAACATAAAGTGAATTTACTACTGCGCACCACAAACACACTGTAGGTCTCTATAGGGCTGCCGTAGGCGTGTTATAGTGATTTTTGGAGAGGCTCATCTCTCTTTCTCTCTCGCTCAGCTTTCCTCCCACACACTTTAACTCTCTTGTTTCAGCAGTGGATACAGAAGCCGTACAGTAACAGTATGAGCGCAGGGAGGGAACGCTGGCCAAATGTTTCTGCAGGTTACTTCATCACTCAGATCGGCATGCATAGAGTTATATAAAGTTTTTTAGGCCTGTAAAAGAGAGGAAATCCAAACAGGTGCAGGAGGTGATGTGATGAAACCATATGGGTCAAGATAAAAACAGAAAACATGAGCAGGATAGATGGCAAAAATAAAGTGCAAAGCATCCACAGAAAATATAAAAGTCACATGATACAGTGAAAGTGTGGTCGACTGTGTCGTTGTGTTAAAAGCCGTACTTCCAGTTTTAATACGTGCGAGTGTTTCAGTGACAGCAGTTTGATCTAAAGAGCCTCACAGTGTCAGGAGTACATACAGTCTTCGTGCTGGGCTCCCCGGAGGATTTCAAAGCCCTTCCATGTGTTATCTAAGTGCCTTTCTCTCGCCACTCAGCTGTGAAGGTCAACGCTACAAGAAGCCCTTTGACTTTAGTCTGACACTGACAGATTTATGAAACATGTTTGACTCTTTAAACCGTGACAAATTCAACGTGCTAAAACTGGATATATGGGATCTATGGTGCAGGTTTATCTGTCTGTGTAAACAGTGGTGTAATGAGCAGACTTTGTCTTAGTGAACATTTAGCAAACAAACAAAGCATTTATTAATATTGTTCTGTTTGCATCAAAATAATTTTGGGATGATGAAACAACGGCCCGTTCTCTAAGAAATTACAGAAATAATGCAGGATCTGATTAAAGGAAATGCAACCAAATTGCAAGAACAACACATTGGAATTGTGTTTCTTTAAACCACAGGTATGTTAAATTTGTACATTATTATGTAGCGGATACAATTAAACTTTACTTTCCAACATCACTGTGGTTCAAGTGTGGTTTTGTTTAGACACAAAAACCACTTGGTTGTGGCTTATAATAATCCGTTTTGGGGACATGAAATGCAGTGATGTCATAGTCAGAAACAACACTTTTAATGCCACTATCTGGCAAGAAATACAGCGACGTTTGGGTTAAAGCAGCTGTTTATAATGCCACTATCTGGCAGAAAATGCTTCAATGTCTCAGTAAAAAACAACAAGCTTTTATGCCACTTTCTGGCAGGAAATGCATTGATGTCTTGGTAAAAAAAACAACTACTTTTCATGCAACTGTCTTGCAGGAAATGCAGGGATGTCTTCGTTAAAACGTACTGTCTGGCATGAAATTCAGTGAAGTCTCAGTAAAAATCAGCTGCTTTTCGTGCCATTATCCATCAGGAAATCCAGTGATGTCTTGGTAAAAAACAACCGCTTTTTCATGCCATTATATGGCAGAAAATGCATCAATGTCTCTGTGAAAAACACCCACTTTTTATGCCACTAACTTGCAAGAAATGCAGTGATGTCTCTGCAAAAAACAACTGTTTTTAATGCTACTATCTGGCAGAAAATGCAGTGATGTCTTGTGATGGACTGAGAGTCTCATCCTACTCTCTAATGTGCTATGTGTGAGCTCAGTCCTGCGTGTTCTTTAATGAAGCAATAGGAGAAGATATTCGGTCTCAGTTAATGTAGTTTATTAAGCAGTAAAGGAATAAAATTACAGAGCTCTGGGTCTCAACTTCACGTCCCTGACGAACAACAAAGGTGTGTCAGTTCACGAAGTCTGACCTCCTGTCCTTTCCCTGACCCAGTATATTTGAGCGTAACAGAGTGTCATTGTGCACGCAAGGCGTTGTCCTCTTCTCATTGGCAGTTCCACTTCCTCCTTCACCACACCACGCCCCTGCCTCGTGTTAATCTGACTCCTTCCCGCTGGCGGTGGGGGCGTGGTTCCTGTTTTGAAAGACAAGAGAACAACACAACTCCCTACACGTGCTGTACCTTACTATCTGTATATCACTTTCTATTCTTTTTACCATATATGAAACTAATTATCTAAGCATTGCAGTATGTGCTCCTCAGACTTCATGTCTCTTACTCTCCTGTACTTCTCCACTTCTGCAAAGCAAACACATTCAGATCAGCTGAA